GACAAGTGATAAGATGTTGAAGCATTTTGGCAGCATTACTGAATTTGTAGACCTTATTACAAAGCTTGCAAGAAACAGACTTGTTTGGTAAAGTACGGTAGTGCTCCCATATGCGTAAATCTTTAGGTCTCCCCATTGAACCTAAAAAAATGAACGATGATTAGTTGGTCTGACGAAAATTCAACAATAGAGTGCCTATTTTTTTACAATGATTATTTCTTGTTATTTACAATAAATTTATTAAAAAAATAATAAAATAAATACAAAAAACCTTTGTAAAATTACATCTCCTCGGAGGATTAAACGCAGACGCTAGTTTATTATCGTATTGTTCTGTATTTTTCTCAGCAACTTCTTTAATTCGATTAGGTACTTACGCATATTATGTTAAAAATAAATATCTAGTACACATCTTAGGCTATCCACCATTATTATCCAATGACGACTCTCAGCTAACTATGCACTATCATCCAAAATAAACGTGTATGGAAAATTTTATCCCAGTCGGTTGAGGATTGAGGATAATTGCATCAACATACGAACATACCTACATACTTTTATTTACATAACGCAAGCTAAATAAAAGCTTGTAATAATACATCTAATTTTAAGTTAAAATTGTTAAGTGATCATGATATAATTGTATCATTCAAAAATCCACTTACCTTTAATTATTTCTTGTTAAGTATAAATATTATTTCAAATCTGCTCCCTTAATATGCACTTTTTTACTGCTTTTCCTACCTAACACGTTACCAGGAAGTCACGTTACCAGAGTCAGAGTAATAGTGAACACGTTTGACAGTGATTGTCGTCGCCTCATATTCAGCGTCGACGAATAGGGGAATCCCCAGTCATAATGTATTGCATGCGTGGCGGTCTTACTTCAAATCCATAAACAAAGAGATAATTACAGAACTCGATACTAGATGGCGCTGTTTTTGTTTGAAGAAAGTTTGCGGGCTAAAATACATAGAATTTCATCAATGACTTCCACAAAGAACATTTCTGTTTTTTCTAAGTCCGTATCTCTTCCGTATATTTCATAAGATATAAGCTTGGGCTACATTGTTATGCAACGTGATTTTGTCGCTGTCTTGCTAGCAGGGTTGACAGATATACGATTTAAATCGTACTCATACTATTATTTGTCTATTTTTTAATGTACGATCGTAAAGATTATGATCGTAATTCGCACAAAAACATACGACTTTTTGGTTACCTGGCAACATTTTTATTATGAAACGAACATGCTCACATCATCAGTCACATGCAACAATTTATTGGGGATTTCCCCTTCACATCTGGCAGTCCTGCTTGCTAGAATATAGGTAAGTCAGCCACAGTTACTGACGATCGATATTTAAAGGGTATTGTTTTTGTGCTAAATATTTCATAAAAACGTTATTTAATACTTTGTGGATTATTAATTTAGTTGATAATCACTGGAAGTAAAATGGATGCTAATTTGAGAGATCAAGATCTTCGTATAAAACAGTTAATAAAAGAAAATCTACGTAAGTACTCTTTTTATACCTAGGTAGGTAAGGTATAATAAACACAAAAGGTACTTAGATCGCGTGTGTTCGAAGCATTTATTCTAATAAATTTAATTTAAAATTGTAGAAAGAAAAAAATGTCTGCCAAGCCGTAGCCGAAGCCGATCTCCAAATATATTTGGCGATAGTGAGACCCAGTGTCCAGATGATTTACCCAGCGTCGTCGCAACAAAGAAAAAAACGAGGATAAAGTAAAAGAAAATTTACTGAAAGAAGAAACAAACTGTTCTAAATGCTTAATTTATGGAGAAGAGGATAAAAGAAATGAGTATTTCGGACTGTTAGTGGCTCAAGAATTTAAATATATACGGCCATGTGTGCGAACGAGGTGTTATGAAGAAATTTTAAAGTATCTACGGGAAGCAAAAGGCCAACATGTTGATCAACTGCAACATGAAAACACTGAAAATTAATTACTTTCATTTTATTATATATAGATTTTTAAAATTTCCTGAAATATTATTAGTTAACGTTTTATTTAATATTGTAGAATTGATCAATACAATTTATAAAAATAATTTATTGGTATTACTTACATATTTTCAAAAAAATACGTAAAAACCTATTTTTTTGGGTGATTATGGGAGTTTATGGGTGTTTATTGGGTTTTTACCAAAGCACCGGGTTTAAACCCGGTGCTTTGCCCATCTGTAGTTATATGTATTAATTACTGCGTTTACCCGTACGCGGTATCAGAAGTTGTAATAAAATATCCTATTTCAAAAAACACTCTTCAAGCTGTTTCTGGATAAATGTTATTACTCAATAAATGCGTTCTAAAATGATAAAAAAAATAAATAAATAATAATTAGATATGTGTTCAATATATTACAGCCTTAATAATTGTGTATACTTTTTTATTGAATTAATATTAATAATAAGTTATTTTGAAAATAAATTATTTTGTTTTATTAATTTTTTTAAAAGTTTAATGTTTGTTTTAAAGCAATGTTACTACGTTAAATTGATCTGAATTAAGGCTATTTATTTATTTATATATTACTAATAAATTGATTTGACTAGATAAATTATAAATGGACAAAAAGTGACAAAATATTATTGCAATATGTTTGTGTAATTTTAGTAAGATTATTTTTATTTCTTGTATATTTATTAACTTTAAAATAAGATTAGACTATAATTTTATTATAATATAACACCTATAACAATATACGTTATTCTAGCAAATAAATGAATTCTAAAGTTCGGATAGTACCAACCCCGTTCCAAGGCGGGCTCGGCCTCCTGTCGCTGTATCCGCCCCGGGGCGGGGTTGGCACTCAATATGTTAACTTAGTAGGTATATGTAACTTAGCAAAGAACTGTAAAATTCTGCGCTACCTTATACGACATGACGATTTTTAAAGAGTATAGTAGAAAGAAAAATAGAGAGCAAAAGATGGGGGGACAGATCGAGGAATAACTACATGGGACAGATAAAGGAAACACCAGGTGTCATGTCGTATAAAGAATGGCCTGGAATAGAGCTGGCTGGAAGAATATGCATGAATTAGTTGCACAGACAAGAGGAAACTCTTAAATAAAGAGAGAAGTAAGAATTTTAGAAAACACTATATATTTAGTCAGTATTACTCGCTGATAATGTAGCTTTCTATAGGCGATAGAATTTTTAAAATCGGTTGAGTAGTTTTTGTGTTTAGCCATTACAAACAAACGAACAAATCTTTCCTCTTTATAATATTAGTAACAAGTACTGATGTAAGAAGAACTATTCAATTCAATTTAATTCATTTATTGCATTCTACAATGTTAGGAAAAGATTTAAAAAAATCAGTAAAGTACATTGTAAGCCCTGTCGGGTACAACAATAAGAAGCGAGGAGGACGTCAGCTTTAAAATTTTCTTAAGATTACCATAATTATGAATAATATATGAATTATTTGAAAAAAAAACTATGTAAACAAAGTCTTCCGCCTTATGTCTGTCTGTCTGATCGCGATAAACTCAAAAACTACTACACCGATTATCATGCTGTCTTCACCAATAGGTAGAATGGTTCTTGAGGAAGGTTTTAGTATATAATTTGTTAATTTTTATTATACATTGACTAAAATATAACGATATTTGTTGGAAGTGTCGGGAAAAGATAAGCCACCTGGGAGCTTTCAACGAAAACGCTGCCTAAACCCTTTGAGATATAACAAACTAATATATGGTGGACTTGTGTATCTTATATAGATCTACAGAAAAGCCCGCGATGGCATATGTTTATCTCTTAAAAATAACATACCATACCCATTTTAATACTTTCAAAAATGGACAATTATAAAACAGTAATTGGAAAGCTATTTACACAAATACGCTATTAATCCTTATCATTTTAAATACATTAGTTGGCTTGAGCATTACATGAAGATTATTTTTTCCCTTTACATTTAACAAATTAAATTAATACCTTAGGAGATATAGCAAAATCAAAATAATGCCCAAGGCAATTAATTTTGTGTCGCCGTGATTCGCCTGTCGCGCGGGCGCCCTCTGGCCCCGCGCCTCGGGTCCGAACCCAGGGGTCCAAAAGGTTAATGTCAAAGAAAGTTAAATATTAATGTATGGTGGAATTGTGTATCTTATATATGACAGAAAAGTTCGCGATGGTGTGTATCAATATATTAAAGATAACATACTACCTATATTAATTTTAATACTTAAAAAATTGGCAATTATAAAACGGTAATGTTAATGTAAAAGCTATTTACACAAACACGGTATTAATTATTCAATTTTATTTATTATTTCTAAGAATAGGCCACCCCTTACTTTCCCGTAGGTGTCGTAAGAATCGACTAAGGAATGTCAAGGGATGGACAGCAGTGTCCCTCTTAAGACATCTCTAAAGCCCTGACTACGGGTGCCAATCCGCCTGCCAAGCGTGGCAACTACTAACAAAATCTCCCATGAGGGAGGCTTATGTGGACAGTTAAAGGCTGATAACGCCACCATTACTGTTCTTACTCTTTGCTTAAAAATATTTTGATGTTAATAGTTGGTATTGTTTAACTAAGTATAATGTCTCCCAAGACGTTTTTAGGAAAAACTTTTTATATTAAGATATAACAAAGATATCTATAAAAAAAAATCATGACAACATTGATTTAATTTTTGTCTGTATTTTATTTTATTCGATGTCTACATACATGAACAATGGAAATTTTATAAACTTCTGTATTTATCATTTCTGACAATTGTTTCAATTACATCCATTCGTCGATTTGTCATTAATAAAATGTCATAAAATTTAAAATTAATATTTTATTTCAATCACTAACTTCTACAACAGAAGCTACGATTAGAAAGATCAATGTTCAAATTTATGGCATCAATTTCCTGAGAGAATACTATACAAATTAAGCACTTCATGAAAAATGCATCGTTTCTAATATATATATAAAAGGCCGGCACCGCGCTGCAATATCAGTATGCTGCAAGTGCTAAGTGGGTAACGTATCCCTTCATGGGCAACGTTAACCACTTAGCACTTTCCAGCCCACCATGGAGCTTAACAAAAAGGTAATCAGTTTTAATTGAAATTGTCTCTAAAATACATTTTTAAATGAAAATTGTAAGAAATCAAGACTTTTAAACAATTAATTTATTTCTTAATTGTCTATCAAACGTTACAGAGACTGGAGAGGACCAGCCGAGTAGGCGAGCCGAATGACTGGAGGCGACCACGACGGCAGCTACTGTTGGAGCGGCTCTGGTCGCCACGGCATTCTGCATCGTGACGTCCAAAACGTGGTGGGAGTTTTGGGGGCTCACCCCAACTTGGTGTCGTGGGCGTAAGCAGGGGCAGAAGCAGGGACAGGAATGGGCGAGGGCGTGGAAATGGGCGGATAGTTAGTATAAATTATACTACTTCTTCTTTACAAAAAGTGTCAAGATTTATGCCTTTGACTACCTTATTAGGATCTAGCTGTTTTCCGCGGCTTTGACTACTACTGCTGTAATGCTGGCCATCACTGGCTACATAATTTTAATATTAAGAATCCTGACTTTTTTTTATAGAATAGATCTTGTTTCATGTCTGAATAATATGTTATTATTATAATTAGCTGTGTATTTGCTGTTTAAATTTTCAATAAGATATATTCTACCCGCCTACTCCTCTCTATCCAAATGTTGCCTAGAAGAGATCTCTTTTAGCCATAAGGTCGCTTATTGTTTTCTTGCTGTGATTATTTTGTTTTTGTTTGTATCTATAATAAGTTTACTATTGTAATCTTTAAGAGGAAACAAAGAGCATCTATCTATCTACCCGTGCGCTACATTTTTTTCAATTTTGTTTAGCCGTTTAAGCTTAGTAATCAACAAACAGCTTTATAAACTTCCAGATTTTTAATGACTTAACGACTTCACACGCTTGACTGAACTGTGACCAGTCAAGCTTGTGGCCCGAAAGATTGGAGGCGACCGTGAAGACCTCCGCTGCTGGTGCAGTTCCGGTCGCCATGACATTCTACATCAGGACATTTAAAGCTTGAAGAGAGAACAGGAGCTCACCCTAAGTTGGTACCGTGGGCGGATGGCGAGTATAAATTATACTTCTTCTTCTTAAAAACTGTCGACATATCGTCATAGTCGTAGAATATTGACGGATATATATATGTAATATTTGTCAGACCGTCAGTATTCTACGACTATGACGATATGACCACCTTATTAGGAACTAATTGTACCAATTGTTTAAATTCGTGTGAGCGTCGAAGCGTGATGAGAAAGAAACATTTAATAACTTACAGATTTTTAAACTTCGCGTATTATTAATAGATTAGTATTCCGCGTCTTCACCCTCATCTTGATTTAGTTTATAAAGAATCGTATATGACGTGTCAGTAAATAAAAAAAATTTCGTCATCATAATCCATCCTCACAGACTTTCATATCTGTAATAGTAGTAGGATTAACAGGACAGTATTTTTTTTTAATGGATAATAATGGAATGGTAACCCCACCCGCGCTATCGGTATACACCGGTGGGGCACCAGTGAAGGATGATAGGTGAGGATGAAGTAGGTCAGTTAGCCCATCGTGACGAATTCAACAAGAATTGTTCACGATTGTTTCCAGGGGGAACCACGTGGAGGTCGACCTAATAAGGTATATTGCTAGCAATGGGGCTGTCAAACTCCATTGCTAACAATCCTTTTCCCACCAACAGGACAGTATTATAATCGTTAACAGTTTAATATTTTTTCTTGAAAACTGTAACAAGTGTACCGTCTCGTATGGATTATACGAATCATTACTTCTATTTCCATTTCCATTGACCTTCAATCAGATTTGTTATAAGTATTTTCCATCACTGGAATAAGGCAGCATTTTACATATTATATTTAGATGCACAAAGCATTTGGCGTCGGCCAGATTCGAACACACAACCTTTATAGTCTATATCCATACCTATCCGTACACCGGTCACGCCGGTCATATCACTATGTGTATATTGCATTAAATTAATGTGTTTTTATTATTTCTTTCATAGGATCGTTCCATCGAGAGCTAGATTTTGCACGCGATGTTAGAGAATTGGGCACAACCCATATCGCGGTTAACCATCTCGCGTCGTGTCAACATGTAAGTAGATTTTTTATAGGGTATTTTGAAAAACGTTACCACTAACAGTTTATTCCGATGCTTTTCAATTATTTGTTTTGTAATTTTAGCGAATGTATCAATTGTGATTATAGTTGGTACACATTCAAATCCATTACTAGAGGTGCTCTGTGTAAGCAAGTTCTTTTTTTTTAAATAGATGAAAATGGAATGGTAACCCCGCCCGCGCTACCGGTTATACACCGACGAGGCACCAATGAAAGATGATAGGTAAGAATGAATACAGGTCAGTTGGCCCACCATGATGAATTCGACAAGAATTAACCATGATGGTTTCCAGGGGGAACCGCGTGGAGGTTGACCTAAGAGCTTTCATCCTCACCTATTATCACTCATAGATACCCTCCAGCCCATACCGATAACGCCAGCGGAGTTGCCATTCCATATTCACTCATTTAAAAATAACCTCTGCAGCAACTTATGTAGCTGTGTTTCGGTTCGAAAGGTGAGATGTGACAGTGAAACTATATAGTAACGCTCTATTCGTGTACCGCTAGCGGTAGCCCCGTACTGGTAATCCCTTGCTCCCTTGTAGATTAATTTATCCACTGTTACTAATAGTTCTTATTTGTTTTCTAGCAGTATACAACGCGTCCACCGCCGCCGCCACGCGTGCTGGCGGGCTGTGGCCCCGCGGTACCGCCGGAGCCCTGACCAGCCGATCAACACTTGTTCTACGTTCATATAAAGTGGAAACAGTGATTGATTGTGACTGGAAAGATACTGAATGTGACTATAATATGAATACATACGTTTTATCTCATTTGAACACCCTATTATATCTCATAAGGACATATATGTAATAATTTTTCCCGATGGTATTGGCACGGACTGTGGTAGTATTGTGGACTCATTCTTAATATAATAGTATTTAGTTTTAATGCATTATATTTAAGTATAATTGTAAACCTCACCTTGTTGGTATTATAAACGACAAACCAGATCCTTATAATACGACTATCAAATATTGCTTGTGTGTATGTTTAGTTTTTAAGGTGATGTTAAAAAATAAATAAAAAAGAACATAACAAAACATAAAAATAAAAAAAAAATAAAAAAATCATAACAAAACATAAAAGTAAAAAAGAAAATAAAAAATATATAAAAAAATAATAAAAAAATTCTTAAGGCCACATAGCTATGACTTTATATGATAACAGCACCTATATATCTACGAGCATGGGACGAGTACCTTGCTTGTATTTTAGAATTAAGTTAGTCTTAATTTGTAACTTTAGGTAATAAAATTAGATATAAGAAAAAATGCTTTCTTTTTTATTTCTTCAATATACACAAATCATCATCTTCTTCATCATCTTCCTACCCTTATCCCAATCATTTGGGGTCGGCGTAATATGATTTTATCCATATTACAAAAAAATTTGGTTTTTAGTTTTACGACTGGCCACCTGCCTGACGTCAACCCTCTTTGGGAATGACACACAATACATAATAAAAAAATAACAAACCGAATAAATAACTACAGCACACAAAAGTTGCCAGCGTATTGCCAACCCTTTATATGCTAGAAAATATAAATTTTTCATGGCACTTAAATTTGTCGTACCCTTTACAGAAATAAATGCCATAAATTTTAACATTGACATTATTAATCCTGGTGGTATATCTATTGTTGTCGTAGTTCGTAATTTAAAAGTTAAATCTTTCATATTGTCTATTGCCAGCGTATAATTGATATTCTCTCCAAATGTATGTACATCTAAGAACACTGAAATCTTTGATGTACATTTACATATAACATAGTCTGTGGCCATCATAAACAATCCTGATATCTATTATCATTATTGGAATTCCTAATTTAAATAAAATGAAATACAAAAAAAAATATTATTCCACCGTTTTATTGATAAAAAAAATATTCATTTAAAAAAAAAGGTTTTCTTTTTTTTTACACTATTTTAGAACAAAATAATAGGCAGTAATCATTACAAAATATTTAAGCGAAACAAACATTTATTTTTATACAACTTATAATGGCAAACAAGCTGACGGCCCACTTGATGTAAAGTGGTAACCGTCGCCTGTAGACATGAGCAGTACCATGGACATAAAAGAGTATACTGTTTCGCACATGATACCCCCCATGTCTTGCCATTCCTGAAGACACAGGTGATTACGGATTAGCTAGTAAACAAATAAATTAGATTTCTTTTTATTGTTAGCGAGGCAAACAAGCTACGGTCCATCTGATGGAAAGCGGCTACCGTCGCCTACACCTGCAGTACGAAAGGAGTTGCTTATGCGTTGTTTCCTTTGTTCTATTAATTTATTTTTTAATAATTCATATATAGTTACTCCGCATGAGCGTTAATACAATGGGGCCGATTCTGGAGGACCATTTCTAATATTGAACCTTTTTTTTTATCGATTATTTCACGAAATTACCGTTTTTTTATATGAATCATGATAAACTAAAATTATAATATTCTTTTTTTATATACCACTGAGGTGGCAAACAAGCATACGGCCCACCTGATGGTAAGTGGTTACCATAGCCTATGAACACCTGCAATACCAGAGGCATTATGCGTGCGTTGCCGACCCTGAAGAAACCTCTTTAGCTCCCTTTTGAAGAACCCCATGCTGTAATCTCTTGGGAAAACCTCGGCAGGGAGCTCATTCCACAACCTGAGTGTTCGTGGGAGGAAACATCTCTGAAAGCGAAATTTTTACTTATTGATTAGAAATTTAGTTCATATTGATTTTTATTTATTTATTTATTTTTATTTCGCTGTGATATTAAACTGAATTTCAAATTTTTGTTGAGTAATTAAAAACTTTCACATACGGGCAACTGTGTAAGACCATGTTTCGGTTCCATAAGTCATCACTGGCAACACGCACTGGTTAGAGACCTTCGTCTACAAACTTTCAGGTATTCTGGATGAAAAAATTTGGCGTAGTTTCCTGAACATCATATCAATCATACAATACTATTAAGCTATCCCTTATAATTCGTATTTTGATGCTAAAGAAGTACATAAAAACTCTAAACCAAAATATGAAGTAGGTAGATATAAAGTTTGTAAGAATGATAGATTTATATGGATCGTATTCTACGTAAACAACGGCGGTTCACCACCACGAATATGTTATAGGGCGGGCCTATCCCATAATTCATATTTTGGTAAAAAAAACCTACATGTTAATAATAATAATAATAATAATAATATTTATTTAATTAGACTACATAAGGCCCATTTTGTTAGTTACAAATTGACTTAACCTATGTTAGTAAATGAGCGGTCATCACGCTCTTACACTGATAACCTGTCCCACCCAATATTTTAGGATGGGACAGTCCATTTTATCAGCAATTGTCTTCAGGACACTGTTTGAGCTAACACGCACCCTACCCAACAGCGAAACAATTCGTTTGCGTCGTATTGCGTAAAAATCATCTGTACGCTCCCGTGCAAACATGTGTGACGCACTACAGTGACTAGGTAGCCCCAACAGTGCCCTGAAGGCATTATTGTATTGGACTCGAAGAGCATTGTAAGTTTTTTGACTATAGTTGACCCACAAGCTACTTGTGTAGAACACCTGACAAAAAGCTTTAAACAGGGTTATTTTTACTTCTTTTGTACATCTAGTAAACCTGCGGGCCAACATGTTACTTCTAACTGCCAATGCTCTTCTTTCTCGTTCTATATCCAGGTCATCTTTTAAAGTATTTGCAATAATGTGACCGAGATATTTAAAATCATTTACCACGTCAAGTACATTTCCATTAAGTGATATAGGAGGCACATACTTCGGTTTTTTATGTCCAGATACAAATGTCATAATTACACTTTTGCTAGAATTATATACCAGACCATGGTTTTTCGCGTATGCTTCACACACAGCTAGCATTTTTCTTAAAGCTCCAATTGAGGGGCTCAGCAGTACCATGTCGTCGGCATAGCTTATGTTATTGACGCTTACTCCATCAATATAACACCCAGCATGCATTCCGCTGAGCTCCTCAATTAGGCCATTTACATACATATTAAACAAGTTGGGTGAAGTCAGCCCACCCTGCCTTACTCCGCATTTTAATCGGTATGAGTCTGATAGAGTATCATTCCACCTCACCTGATTACTTTGATTATTGTACCAATACTCAAGAACTCTAACTAACTCTGTAGGAAGCATAGTCTTATCAAGTTTACTCCATAAAAGATCATAAGATACCATATCAAAGGCTTTACTTAAATCCAAGAAACATGCATAGACTGGAGTGGATCTGTCTGTGTAGTATCTGACCGTATGCTTGAGACACAGAATGGCCGATTCAGTCGACACCCCCTGCCTGAAGCCAAATTGAAGGTCATGCAAGTTTAGATGTCGTCTAAGTTGCGTATCAAGTAAACCGTCAAACACCTTGGCTGTTATTGTAGCCAGTGATATAGGCCTGTAATTACCGCTGTCCGATACATCTCCCGTCCTGTTCTTAAGTATTGGTACAACAATCGTTTTCAACATATCCTCTGGTAGGTATGTATGCCCAATACAAAACGTGTATAACATTGAGAGCACCCTGGGCAAATGGTCCCCAGCTGCCTGAAAATGCTCTATACTAAGGCCATCATGCCCAGGGGACTTTCCTCTTTTCATGTTCTTTATAATAAATTCAATATCTTTACATGTAAAATTATGCATTTGACCTACTATCTTTTTACTACAAGCATTTGTAGTCGACTGTAAGTTTTGTTGACCTAAAGGAGATGTTACTCTAAAATTATTTTTAAACATATTAGCTATTTGTTTAGGACAATTAATACCATTAATATTTACAGGAAAACTAATTTTACCGTTAAGACTATTTGTCGCTCTCCAAAACCCACTAAAGTCACTTCTGGAGCGGCAAAGAGCAATTATATCCATTTTTATTTGGTCTTGGTTATTTTGACACCATTTTAGTTTACTTTTAAATCTCTTACGACTTTCATACATTTCTTTATACATAATACCCTCAGTTGGTTTACCATATAATTCCCATATCGAAAACTTTATTCTAGCCTCATTATGTGCCTCCCTTACATATTTATTCCAACCAGTTACACATCTTCGCCGCCCAACAGGCCTGTCATGACTTCGAGCTGCAGCTTCTGCTAATGTATTTACTATATTACTGTATAATTGGTTTATTATGGTCTTATGAATAGGATCACTGCACTCTCTATCACAACAATTAGCAAGCTCAGATGGGAACTCAATTTTACTTAACTTTTTATTACAATAATTATTATATAATTGTATCTGTTCATAGTCTCTAATTCCCCACAATATTTTATTACAATGTCTTCCATTTATTGCTATTTTTGATTGCAATATATTAATGTTACATTTTATTTGAATAGGGAAATGATCAGACCAATATATATCATAAAGTATATTTATCTCTGTAATAGACTTCCAAGAAGCTTGTGTTACTAAAATATGGTCTAACCAACTTTTTGTCCCATGTGCATCGCTAATAAAAGTATAACTATCCGAATTCAAACCTAATTTCTCTATATCCGCACAAATCAGCTGTTGTTCTGTACAGAAATGTAAAAGCTCCTTACCGAATTGTCCATGTGGGTGCGCATTGTAATCACCAAGAATAAATACAGTCTGCGAGTCATTATTCTCAACAATTGCACAGATCTCGCCTAAGCAGTGAGTGAATTCTGTTAAATTTTCACTATCGTCTGTGGGCATGTAAACACTCATAATAATCATTTGTTTATCACTAGTCTCTGCATTAATTGCTATTATTCGCGAACTTTCACATTTAATCACCGACACTGACCTGAAAACACTTTTCCGCCACAATATTGCGACACCACCAAACGGTCTACCGTGAAGAATGCCTACTGATGTGTCCACAGCAGAATTTCCAGAATATCCAAAATCATCATGAATGCTACCTAAAATATGTATATCATGAGGTAGAAGCCAAGTTTCCTGCAATGCGACTATATCCGCCCGTTCACATAAAGATTTTATACATTCTACCGATCTTTTCATTGATTTACAATTGAAGGATATCAAAGTTAGTGTTCTATTATGCATTGTTATTTTGTATTTAAAAACTTGTCATCATTACCAGATGTCTTTTTAAAAGTAACAAACCGACGAAACGAAATTCCATCAGGCCATAGACCTGCATCCATAAATATAGATAATTTACTTTGCGGTACAAATATTTTATACGCATCATATTCCTTCTGAAATTTCATGCAAATTTTTTCTAGCGCTACAGACACCTTAGTTTTTTGCAAAATATATGAAGATATGTCCTCTATGGAAGTATTTTTATCAACTTTATTTATAAAAAGCGGTATCTTTACATCTGCTGCTCGAAATTTTTCCTCCGGTTCTGTACTTGCTTGTCCTCTTTTCCCCATAAATCTATTTCTGAGTTTCTTTCTTTGTACAACTATCCAATCTTCTGACTTTTTTCCATTTTTCCATTTTCCGCCAGAAGCAATATCAGCAAATGATTTTTCCACTACTAATGGATGGGAGACTGTGTTGTGACTATTGGCTATGTTCACACCGGTCGCACTCACTTGCGTGTCCGCTGCTATGTTTTGTTTGCATTGATGTACTGTATCTTCTACCCTCGCACTTACGTTTTCTAATGTACTATTTATCAAACAATTAGATTGCGTTTTCGATGGAATATTTATGTTGCACTCGCTATTTATATTTCCATTTTTCTCTTCCTGAGAAATATGAAGCAATCCAATGGGTCCACTGTCGTAATGAAAATTATCAATAACATTTGCACACCCTCTCTTCGTGTTTATATATTGTGAGGGTTCAAAGTTATTCACAATTGAGGCTGATTTTAAATTTGCCAACTCATTCTTTATCAACTGTAATTCTTCCGTTGTAGCGCAGGTTTCCTTTACAGTTCGAACCTCCTGTTGCAACACGAGTATATCTTTTAATAATTTGGTTACATCTACGTGATCAAAACTTATGGGGGGTAGTTTCTGTAAGTTTCTTGCGACAAAAATCGGAATTTTTTCGGGATCTATTCCTTTCAATAGTGATAAAATATCTTCTATATCCCGCTTCTCTTTACCGTCCTTTTTCCGCATAATCTATCTATCATAATATGTACATAATAATATGTAGTATATTTTTGGTAGATTTGAATAGATACGATATACTTTAAACAACAGAATGGTCAACTAACCGACGTGCCAGCAGATAAAAGAAAGCGGTAACCGACACTCACAGAAATATCACCCTTCTTGCGTTACTGTAAGGCGAAACGCGGGCACCGTTTGTCCCATACAACCGTTTTCCCGTGTTTTCCTCTTGAATAATGCCACTAGAGTGGAACTTTTTTCACCATTTGATTTATATGTTTTTTATTTTTATTTATTTATTTAGGTTTACCAACAATTGTTTCCACAAAATAATGTAAATATATATACAATTATGGAGCTTAGAATTAAGTGTAACAATTTTTTGTAGACAAACACAGCATACATTGATACATGTATAACAATAAGTACTGAGAAATATATATAACTATTATTAAATGCTTAACAACTAACAACTAAAGCCACCATATCCATAAGCAGATCCAGCAGCACGACTCATTTTATATATTTATAGATATATCGTACAAAAACAATTGGAGTATCAAAATTAATATCGACCTGGTGACTGCAGCTATTTATAATCTTACAGAACCTTACTATTAGAATATGTTATATATTTAATGTTTATCAAACACAAGGCATGCTGTGGTTGCCTATAAATGTAAGAACAGTGAGATCTAATTTACCAGTGTGTTGTATTGAAATGTTTAGCTGTATCTTATGTTGGTAATCCTATAAAGAAATAAATAAATATCTTTCCTTACTTATGACTTCCTTTTTTCCAATATTAATTTCATTTTTTTTTTAACTTCCAAACAGCATACCTACATTGTGACGACAAGTTTATTTACGTAGGTTCTGCAATACAAATAATTATTAATCTATAATACAAAAATGAATAGCTGAATGTGTTGCTAAGCGCAAATCTCAAGAAGAGCTGAACCGATTTCGCTAATTCTTTTTTTTATATTCTTTGAAGTATGAGGATAGTTCTTACAGAGAGAAAAATTTAAAAACTTGCCTTAAAAAATCGAAAAACAACACTTTTCTATACTCCCATACAAACGATTCGTAATAATGCTTAAAAGTCAATTTGAACTTTAATACCATACCATAAAGTTCAAGTGTTAGTGAAGAGGTTCCGGGAAGGCAAAACAATCGAGAGACGTGGCACGGTGTTTTATAATTTTAATTTTTTGATATAATGTAATTGTTGACTTATAAACTTTCTTTTTTCTTTTCTTATCTTACTATCTGACCCGGCGTCCTGAATAGCAGAATGTGTATTAAAAAAGCTAAAACATTAAAGAATTGACTATTAGGCGGTAATAAGTCCACGGAGTCAGCTAGTGACATTTATAAATTTGTGTTATATAATTGGGATCTTTAGATAAATTAATTAATTAATCAATCATAATAAATAAAAAAAATACAAATATTACGTAATTTTGTCGATATTTATGTCTGCAATAAACCATTCACCAAACAAATTTTAGTATATTATACTCAATAAAAAATAAATTATAGATTTAAGAGCTAAGTCAAATGCCTTCTTGTATTATTATTCTAAATATGATCTAAATTAAATAATTTTTTGAAGATACTAAAACTAGAGAATTTGAAATAATTATTTCGGCTACTTTTTATAATTATTTCTCAAATTGAGCTGTTAGAAAGAGGGGAGATGTAGTTGTATCTTTCTTCCAGAATAGGGCCACTAGACCACATTACTAACAATCCGTTTCCCCCCCCATTCAAGATGGATTGTACCTCGATAGATTTATAAAATACCTATTCTTCAAAAGTCTACCGCATATACCCTTAACTAGTCTGCATACCTTAATACATTACTACATTAATCTAACTGAGTCAGTCGGGGAGAAAGGGATTGTTAGTAATGGAGACTGAGAATCTCATTGCTAGCAATATACCCAACCAGGTGGACCTCCTCGCGGTTCTCCCTGTAAACTATCGTGGTTAATTCCTGATGAATTCATCATGATGGGCTAACTGGCCTGTTTTTATTCCCCTCTATCACCCTTCACTGGTGCTCCGCCAGCGTATCCCGTTAGCGCAGGCGGGGTTACCATACCATTTACACCCATAAAAAAACTGAATCAGTCTACTTAATACTTTAGGCCTCAGTCAGTTATTAACGACGACTAAGATATGTATAATGCAGACTAATGGGGGGAAGGGAATTGTTAGTAATGGAGTTTAACATCCCCATTGCTGGCAATATACCCTATTAGGTCGACCTTCACGCGGTTCCTTCTGGAAACCATCATGGTTAATTCTTGTGGAATTCGTCACGATGGGCTAACTGACCTGCTTTCATCCTCAGCTATCAACTATCACTGGTGCCCCGCCAGCGTATACCGTTCCATTATCATCATTAAAATATACAGTCTAGTTCAAAATATTTAGACAAATACATCGTCGTGTAAGTACAGCTGGTTGGCAGTGGGGGGGAAAGTATTGTTAGAAAATATATGTAATGACCCCATTGGGAGCAATATACTCTATCTGAACTCCATGTGGTCCTCCCCCCCTCCCCGGAAATCATCATAATTAAGTGACCTAACTTCATTCTCACTTATCATCAGTCACTGGTGCCCCACCAGCGTATACCGATAGCGCAGGCGAAGTTACCATTCCATTTTTACTAATAAAAAACCTGTTTGCCTATACGGATGGGACAAAGGTACCCACTGCAGAGTACATACACAACTGTAACAGGTAACTGTAATCACAATTACATAATAAAGGCAACTGAGTTAATATCGCGAAATCAATTTATTATTTCAATAATTAATTGCTTAGAAGCCGGTTATATTGGTTTCTAAGCTATAGAAAGTGTATGGTAGGGATGTACTGAGTTAGGTTAACTCGAATACCTACTGGATACTCGAGTACTTTAGTACTCGATATATGGTATTCGAATATACAACACTCAAATACGAGATTCGAATATTTGCGATAGTCGTATATATTTTATGTAAGTATTTATTACTACTCATATTTCATGATTGTATTATTTTTTTATTTGTTGAATTATGACGATATTTGTTCAAAATGTAACAAAATCAAGTTAACTCAGAGTTTTCATCGAAGATACTGACTTATTCTTTGAAAATGTAACAAGATAATATATGTTTTAATAGTTTATGTATTAATAGTTGCAGCACTTCAGCATCACTTCACTTCAGCTGGCCGCTAACGAAATGCTTTCTCACTGTACTGGGTTGACTGGAAGAGATCTCTGTCAGAGATAAGTCCACCCTTGCTTACAACATTTATAAATAGATTATTTTATATGTAACTTACAAGTGGAATAAAATATATATATATATATATATATATATATATATATATATATATATATATATATATATATATATATATATATATATATATATATATATATATATATATATATATATATATATATATATATATGATGGAATTATTTCTCTTTATTTGGATCACAAAAAAGTCAGCGATAGCTTTCAATACTATTCAGATAGCTATCAATAATTATTTTAAAAAAATATACATATTATGTGAAACAAAGAAAAAAATTAAAAAGCTATTTAGATACAATATTTATAATTTTAATCACTTCACACTGACACCACTTTGTTTCTACGTTGCACCCGTGCGAAGCCAGAGCGGATTGCTAGTCTTCGTTAGAAGTAAACTCCAGAAATCTCTCGTGTACTCGTGTACTTACGTAGTCTGAATCCACAGGTTGAAGTCAGTCCGCCTAGACCTAGAACAATCGAATCTATTAATAGTATAGTTATCGCTGGCGAGTCCACAAGATAGAATGAGATAGCGTTATATTCTGTCTTGTTCCTTCTTTGTGAGCGTTGACTAAAACAATTCCATCGATAGATTAATATGTACCCTAAATTGGAGTGCTGGACTCAATTCTTTTTTTAACGAGTGCCAAATTACTGTAATACAGGTTGTATCAGCACCTCACTAGTGTATGGTACTACAAACAGATACCGCAGGCTCGGTCTCTGTCAGAAAGTAGTTGGAGACGTGAAGGCTGCGTTGCGGCGCTGCAATATGGCGGCGAGACAGCACAGGCGGAGCGGTTTTTATTAATCTTTATCTAAACTTAATTAAAGTTTGTCTTTTTCTCAATATCCTCTACCCAAAGGTTGTCATAGAGGACTTATCTTGTTTTACCATCCATTGTTACCTATGTATCACAATTTAAATAAATAAATAAATTAAAGCCTATTTGTGGTTGACGTCCCGTCTGCTAAGCGTGGCAACTATTGGCTAAACTCCACTTATAAGGAAAGCTTATGTTCAGTAATGCTCGGTTTAATGGGCTAAAATGATGATGATGATGATGATATAAATGTATAATGTAATGTATACAAAATATACTTAGAAAACAGTCTTAAAATAGAATCGACACATGTGTCAGTGCAGAGATAAAAACTGATTAATTTCTGTTTGTTACACATTGTATATGTAATGAAGTGTTCCTTTTCATAGCAATAGAAAGACAGTTGTTTTCTTTTAATAACACAAAATAAATATTTACTACAATGTAACAGTATATTGACACTGTATGTAAATACAATTGAGGCCTTTGTGTATTATTCCTTTATTTATATGCCTTGACTATTTTATAATAATCAAATAACTGAGAGAAGGGTCAAAGCTCTTTGATATCAGCGTTGCATATAAGGGCACACGACTTATAAAAAATGTATGAATACAAGAGACACATATGTGAAAGACTTTTTTGGTAAAACAAAACTGCTTGCTGCTTCATATTAAAGTAAATCTATTTTTTTTTACCGTTTCAAAACATTTTTTTTTTTCTAAAATCAAACTGACAGGACGAAACAGCCACGTGTGTTATAATATTCAGATTTTAGATTCACAAAACATGAGTTTACATTGTTGTAAATTATTTATCATATTCAAATAACGGACACGGATAAAGAAAAAAGTAAACAAGTAAAAGTTTTCTTTTGTTTTATCCGTGTGAACGGAATATAACGGCGTTATATCCTACTAATATGATTACATATTGTATCACACAAAAAAACCGACTTCAATTGTAAAAAAAAAGAAACAGTTATTTAATTTAAAAACTGAACTACTAAAGCGATTTGGATGAAATTTCAATGGGACCAATATGTATGTATCTGTAAGTACATCGTTTCGAATAAATAAATGTTTTTCCCAAATTGGTTTACAACTGACGAAGATACAAAATAAAAAAAAAATACAACCGAATTGAGAATCCCCAATTTAAAACTCGATTAAAAATAGAATCTTTATGAAAATAGATATGATGTAGAAATTACAATCAAATAAAATTAAATTACATTACATGAATGAAATAAAAAAAAATATATTTTTTTTACTTACTTGATGACAGATCGAGCATGTAGGCATGCTCGATCTGTCATCAAGTGAGTAAAGTATTTTAATCATCGTAAATCCAAAATGATCATTCAAATGGAACCTAGTAATATTCCGCTCTCTCAAATACTATGTTTCAACCTTACCGAGAAGGGAGGGCTGGGGGGGGGGGTAATCTTAGTGTGTGAGACAGGCAGAGAGGAAGGGGGCGCCAGTATCACCGCGGAAGTCGATCGTGCGCGTGAGCGGAGCCTCCAGTTTTGAGCCTCCCACTACATTTTTTTTTTAATCCATGTGTTTATCATCACAAGGTTAGTAAACGAAACGGGCAATTTAAAATAATTTCTTTGCCTTTCCAAGTGTTTTTTTTTTCGCATGATGCGTTTTCGTTTTGCGTCACTCGTTCAAGACCGGTTATGTTAGGTTTATACTACTACTTTTACAAGTTGGCCAAGATTATCTCTGTGTACTATAAAAGATTATTCATTATTGATATAAATAGCAATAGTTATCGACATTACTGCATTAGAATTGTATTAATACATCGCGTATGTTTTGTTTTTATTTATTTTTATATTTATATTTTGTTTAGTAAACATATATTTTTTTATATTAGTAGTATTTACAAAATCTATACTACAATATAAATGAGTTATTATCCGTTTAATAACGACTAGCCATATCCCGCGGTTTCACCCGCGTGAACCAGTAAATGAAGTATATTATGTGCTAAGTTAAAATACCTACAAAGTACCCTTGTACCAAATTTCATTCAAATTCATTCAGTAGATTTCACATCTACGAGCTAACATCCATTCATCGTTACAGACTTTTGCATTTAAAATTATTAAAAATACACACACACACACACACACACACACACACACACACACACACACGCACGCAAGCACCCACGCACGCACGCACGCACGCACACAAGCTCGCACACACGCACGCATGCACACACACACACACACACACACACACACACACACACACACACACACATTTGCCGCCTATATATATACATACACCACTTCTTGACAGATAATAATATACCAAATTTTAAGTAAAATCTTTAGGAACACAACTATGAAAACCGCATCCAATTTGGTGCAATAGTTAAGGTACTTGTGATACCGGAGACAAAACTTCAAGTAATAATTGTTTTAGTTTTTATTAATTAATATTAAGGCCCCGCACAAAATAATAATTTTTCTTATATATCTCCGATGTACAGGCATTGTCTAGTTGCAATTTTATTATATTATTAAGTCTTTGTTCCAAAAAAACGACATCAATTGCGCTAAAATCAATTTTGATAAAGTTTCTATGGAACTAGTCTGTAAGTATATAGTTTCATATAAAAAAAATAAACAAATTCTCTTTATAACTCTCGAATTGAGAACCTCTTCCTTTTGAAGTCGGTTGAAAATAAATTCATAATGTAGTTTCTAACACCTAAACAAACAAATCTTTTATAGCGGTTACGATATTTAACACGAGACTAAATCTTCTCGAGTTAATTGTTCATTATGTATGGATTTATGTATGTAGTGCGAGAACTGACACGCACTTGACCAGTTTAATTTTAAAATAGCAATTGGAGGTGGCTCGGCCACCATGGTTCATAGGATGGCATGAATGGCAGGCCGAAATGGTAATAAAAACACGTGCCCCGCTCATACATACGGTAGTTTAAGAAATTTCTCGCTAACACAATGTATAAGAGGTAGCGGTTAATAAACATTATTTCAGTGCTTATGGTTACAAAATTAAATCTTATTAGTTTTTATAATGTAAACATTTATGCTTTTACATGTTTGTTATTCAACAAGGCTTAAACATCTGAACGGATTTATATGAAATTTAGTTCACGAGTAGATATTATACACGTTGAAAAAGCGAAAACAACTAGTTCAATTCAATACAATAATGTTTTCAGGGTGTTGTTGCGGCTGCCACGTTTTTGTAATGCATCCACAATGTTTGCAGCGGCATGGACAGATGACTTCTATGCCATCAGACGCAAACGGTTCGCATCTCTTTTATACCGATTGCGTGGCAGCAGTAACAGCATTCTGAGGGCATTGTGTAATAAATACGATAGCCCGATCCTCTCATTGTGGGTCAAAATTATTATAGAGGCCATAAGAATTTTACACATAAGTACGTTTTCTTTTTAATTGATGATAATTGAATGGTAACTCCGTCTGCGCTATCGGTATACGCCGGCGGAGCACCAGTGAAGGATGATAGGTGAGGATGAAGTAGGTCAGTTAGCCCATCGTGACGAATTCAACAAGAACTGTTCACGATGATTTCCAGGGGGAACCACGTGGAGGTCGACCTAATAAGGCATATTGCAAGCAATGGGGCTGTCAAACTCCATTGCTAACAATCTCTTTCCCCTATCATAAGTACGCTAGTAGTTGTAAAATTGATCGTCTTATTTAAACTTTGCATTTTTAATTACTTTATTATTTATACGCGTAATTTTACTCACATCTTACTTAAGTAAATAATATTGTTATTTGTTATAAATCTAGCTACTGTTTTTAATCTCTTATAAATAAGATAAAATTCAGATTGATCCTGTACCCAAAGTTTTTGCAACTTTAATTCGTAATCCGTCTGTCCCTTGCACCACATATTAATCTCAGTTTCCACACACCAATGCGGAGTGGAGAGTTGAACAAGTGGGTCATTTTGGCTCCACCGTGCCGACTAGCTATCGAGTGCTGACTAACCCGATGTGCTGGTTGCGAATAAACTGGAATTCACAAATGACGTAGTGTCCTTTTAAAAAAAAATGCCTTTTATCACAAGATGGCTGCTGTTTGTAATTTGAAATTCAAAGTTGTGTAGAATGTTTAGGATTTTATAGCCAAAGGTTGTTATTTGTCTTTGACAACTAAACTTTTCTTCTTTGCACATGATTAGTGAATCATGAGGTAAAAAATCATAATATCTACCATAGAATAATCACACAGCTATATTTTTTTAAAACCCTTCCGTTTTTAAATTCTCAATTTTATAAAAAAAGTATTTATAATATTTGTTTTTACAGAAAATACATTTCATTGCGTTTTTGCGTTTTAGTGCATGTGCTCGTCTTACAACAAAAACTAAAAAATATATATATAGCATCATTTTGCAAAAGTCATTAAATATCGGCCTCTATTTACGGAGATTATTAAATGTTTTATTTAAAGTTTCGTTCATTTTTTACAACAAACTACATTATAAGTTTTTAGTAACCTCACAAGGCGAATTTGCAGCACACTACCCAGATACCTGCATCTACTTAACAGTTATTACACCTAAGTTAACATTCTGAACACACGTGAGTATGGAGGTTTGGAATCCATACAGTTTCGTGCCGCACAGTCGTAATGTAACCTGAATGTGGTATTGAGAGTGTATCAACAGTAAATTGTTTTATGGGATTCTACTGTTTCAATAGAATAAAAATGTAAATAAATAATAATTGTCTCGAGCATAAGACGGTATGTTGATATCCAATAGTAAATCGAATAAAAATCGATTAACTGATTGAATCTTCCGATTTCATTTAAAGAATATTTCCTTGATATTTTTCATAAAACGTCATTCCTCTTACATAAAATACATCCTCTTATTATTTTATTTCTCGATTTGAATTTAGCGCCTGCGCAGGCGGGGTTACCATTATGTTGTCATCCATAAAAAAAATGACTGACAACCTCAAAAAAAAAGAAAAAGAAATATCCAGCGATCCACTCCTTTCATTTAAAATGTACATCAAATTAATAACTACAGTTTACTTTTATAAGTAACAAAATGTGCTACTATATAGTAATAGTTACTATGTACTATTTACTAAATATACTAAATAGGGATATACGCTTGACCATTAACAAAAAAAAAAAAGACATTCCAAGCGATCGGATCGACTCGGCTACGTTCGTACAGATTCGTACATGAACAACTACTAATGAATTATTTTAGCGATTAGTAAAAACGTACAGAGAGTGAAATTTGTAGTCAAATGAAATTAGTAGACGGATGACATTAGTGATTGGATGAATAAAATTTGTAATAGAATGATATTAAAATTATTTCAATGATCCGAATGCTCAGTCAAATAATTAGTAGTCAGAGGGCCTACCATGAAATATTTTCCGAATTTTCGGGCACGAACGAAACAAAAATTTGATATATACGTGGTGTTTAAAATTATAAAAAATGTTAAAATAACATTCCTCTGGACTATTAGGATAGGACTTATAATAAATGAAATGTTAAGCTCCATTTACTGAAACGATTTCGGTACGAACAAAAACACGAAATTGAGCTCGGAATTTCATTTCATGGTAGACCATCAGATTAGTAAAGTTGCCAATCTCAATTCTATAGTCTACGAGTATAGTAGATATACTATATAAATTATACACAATAAATATATAATAATACATACATATAAAACATAAAATAGTCGAAATAAAATATAATAAAATTTATATTGAGATTTCACCTAACATTTTAATAATTATATTCTCATATATATTTCAATATTATAAAGGTTTGATTTTTTGTATGTTTGTTTGTTTGTGCTGGATAAACTCAATAGATACTTAACCGGTTTTAAAAATTCTTTCACTTATATATAATTATCAGCAAGATTATTTTCTGTCTACCCATGCGTAAGTCAGTCCTTAGTTATTTATGTAAAGGCCTGTGTCGAATGTTCATCGTCAGTATTTAGAGTAGGTACTTTAAGAAAGATCTGGAAAGAGAAATCTAGAAAGATCGCGAAAGGAATAGAAGATAAAAACTTTAAAGTTTAATTATAATATATATATATATATATATATATATACCATTTTTCTTTTAATTTTGAATATGAATTATATCACCTTCATTTAATTCACCAATAAAAAAAAACATGCAAAGAAGGATAAAATTCCCTTAGTCGTCTTACGACACCCACGGGGAAAAAGGGGTGCCCAGTCTATGTCGGGACCAAACGGCAATAATTGTCATATAGAAGTTTAATTCATACAACTAAGTCCGGGCAAAAACAACGAATTTATTTATTTTATTTCATCAAATGGGTAATCTTTAGTCTCTCGTTACGCTCACCCAGGAACGCATCAATACAATAACACATCATCGTCATCATATCAGCCCTTAACCGACTACTGCTGACCATAAGTCTCCCCTTGGGGGTTTTGCTAGTAGTTGCCACGCTTAGCAGGCAGATTAGCAACCGCAGTCAAGCTTTAAAGACGTTTTAAGAGTGACGCTGTTGTCCCTCTTAATCTTTTAG